TCTGATTTAATAACTACGCAAAACATTCAAAATTAAAACAACCAATTTGCCATAATTTAAGAATTACAACCGGAATGACGTGTGGCGCTTCGCAAACAGTTGTAATTTTTAACCTTGAAGTTTTGGCTCCTTTCAATGAAAACAAAGATAAACTGAACTAAAAGTTGTGTGTTATTGCCAAGTCAAAGGAGAGAACTGCAATCCATAGTAGGTCTTTTTGATCAAGACATTAGAACCGACTTCACGTTCGGAATAAAAGTTGTAAGATAATCTCCAATCCAAAGCTTTTTGATATTGACAAGAATTATAGATGAACCCACTTTGTAAAAAAGGCAATTGAAAACAGATAAATTTAGGCAGAATTATATAGATATTACACAAAACATTCTTGGATCTAGAAAGTGACAACTGCGATAAATTTAGTGCATGGAAAACCGCAAAATTTTCTAAATGATTAAACAATTTTACTGGATTTAGATATAATTTTTAATTCTTTATTATTTTGTCTGCATTCCATGATAAATTATCCACGCGCGTAACGTCTTTGCTTTGGTCAAAATTCAGTTGAGGCGGGGGTGGGGGGGGGTTGGCAGAACATTTTCAAAAGATTTTTTGGAACTATTTGGACGCTGACACACTGTCAATGTAGTCACATGTCAAAGGTGTGCTCCAGTCTAGTGTCTTCATCAAGAGTGATCTGATGTTAAAACTTGAGTTCTTATATACTCCAGTCTAGTGTCTTCATCAGGAGTGATCTGATGTTAAAACTTGAGTTCTTATATACTCCAGTCTTATGTCTTCATCAGAAGTGATCTGATGTTGAAACTTGAGTTCTTATATACTCCAGTCTTATGTCTTCATCAGGAATGATCTGATGTTAAAACTTGAGTTCTTATATACTCCAGTCTAGTGTCTTCATCAGGAGTGATCTGATGTTGAAACTTGAGTTCTTATATACTCCAGTCTTATGTCTTCATCAGGAGTGATCTGATGTTAAAACTTGAGTTCTTATATACTCCAGTCTAGTGTCTTCATCAGGAGTGATCTGATGTTAAAACTTGAGTTCTTATATACTCCAGTCTTATGTCTTCATCAGAAGTGATCTGATGTTGAAACTTGAGTTCTTATATACTCCAGTCTTATGTCTTCATCAGGAATGATCTGATGTTAAAACTTGAGTTCTTATATACTCCAGTCTAGTGTCTTCATCAGGAGTGATCTGATGTTGAAACTTGAGTTCTTATATACTCCAGTCTAGTGTCTTCATCAGAAGTGATCTGATGTTGAAACTTGAGTTCTTATATACTCCAGTCTAGTGTCTTCATCAGGAGTGATCTGATGTTGAAACTTGAGTTCTTATATACTCCAGTCTAGTGTCTTCATCAGAAGTGATCTGATGTTGAAACTTGAGTTCTTATGTACTCCAGTCTAGTGTCTTCATCAGGAGTGATCTGATGTTGAAACTTGAGTTCTTATATACTCCAGTCTAGTGTCTTCATCAGGAGTGATCTAATGTTAAAACTTGAGTTCTTATATACTCCAGTCTAGTGTCTTCATCAGGAGTGATCTGATGTAGAAACTTGAGTCCTTATATACTCCAGTCTATTGTCTTCATCAGAAGTGATCTGATGTTGAAACTTGAGTCCTTATATACTCCAGTCTAGTGTCTTCATCAGGAGTGATCTGATGTTGAAACATGGTCCTTATACAACGTTCAAGAGAGAATATGCAACATAATTACAAAATGAAGGCTACCGAAACCAAACAACACACAGTCATACATAATGTAACAATTGTCTTACCGATGAAAAAGCCGCTTGGATTAAATTATCAGGAAACATGTTTCTACAAGAAAAATGATCTTTAAGCAAATTTTAATGTGATATTTTACACAAAGAGATATGATTGTACACTATTGGATATTAAAGACACACAGAGATATGATGGTACATTGTTGGATATTAAAGACACACAGAGATATGATGGTACATTGTTGGATATTAAAGACACACAGAGATATGATGGTACATTGTTGGATATTAAAGACACACAGAGATATGATGGTACATTGTTGGATATTATAGACACACAGAGATATGATGGTACATTGTTGGATATTAAAGACACACAGAGATATGATGGTACACTGTTGGATATTATAGACACACAGAGATATGATGGTACATTGTTGGACACTAAAGGATTGAAACAATATACAGACCAGGCTGTCCAAAATTGCACTATAAAAACTAGGATAACTGCTACATTACAACAAAGATAATATTGCTATAACCAAATTTGGTTTCACACAAGAGATTTTATATTTTATAGTAAGATGAGCTTACCAGAGCATTGAAGAAATTCTACAAGTACTTTCAAGTCAGTGATGTAGACATGTTGTCACAGATTAATATGGAGTGCACAGCCATGTTTACTTAAGTATGTTTCTTTTGAAAATTACCTCACACTTGTTTAAAATGTACAAAAAATTTCAGCATTAAAGTACTAAACAACTTTAAAGTTTCCATAATTTTGTAGAAGCACTATTGCTAATGCGCATTTAATATACATACAAGTTTTTTTAAAATAGACATGTTTCGACATCTCATGATGCCATCTTCAGTATGAATGAAATAATAAGTGATACAGGGTTTATATAAAAGTAATATGATACATAAATTACAACAATAATAAGGAAATAAGATAAATTAATGGGGAGCGTCCGAGCGTATTATAAACTAAATATTGTATTGAATTTAAAAACTTGAACATTGAGGTCAGGGTTAGTTTTGTTAATGTGGAGTGCTTCTTTGATTTTAAGGGTGAATGAGGTTTCGGCAATGTCGATGATTTTAAAGCAAGAGGGTGAATAGTTGGTTTTACATGAGTGAGATTTAAGAAGGTGTCGGTAGATATGAGAGTTTTTGTCTGTTGTGGTATGTTCCCTGATTCTGGTGGATAAATGGCGCGAAGTTTCGCCAATGTATCGGGAATTACATCCCGCGCAACTGAATTCATATACCACCATTTATTTTATATAAACCTCGTATTTTTTATTATTTCACTCATACTGAAGATGGCATCATGAGATGTCGAAACATGTCTATTTATTTTAAAATAACTCGTCGTGTATATTAAATAAACTTTGAACTGTTTTAAGAGATAGTACGTCCAATTTTAACACTGAAATCTCTTCTGATAACGAAAAACGCGGTTTCCTGAACTGCCTTGCAGAGTTAGAGTTCACAAGTTGAAAGTTTTGACAAAACTGTCAAAAGCATAATCAAATATAATGATTTCATTTTGCATTGCAATCCAAACTTTAATTTTACAAACAATATCTCCTTAACAGACAAAACAACGTTGACAATTAAACAAATATTTAAACATATTTATCAACACTTGACACAAACCTTATTAGGTCAAGCACAGAATGTATCGGTCAACATTTTTTTCGTTCGGTTCAGTTTTTTTCACGTTGACATTTCCAGGTTTGATACAAATAACTAAAATACTCCCCAAAATGGCAGCCAACATTGTAGTCATAACATAATACAGCAATGTTCTTCTTCCTAATTTCCCGCTCTGTTTTGACTCCAATTCAGCGACTGCCAAAAGCAGACTGGATACAATCAAAGGAAGAACCAAAAGTCTTAATGCTCTCACCCAAATCTCACCAAGAAACGAAACGTACATTGCATATTCCTTAGGTGTTGGATCTATGGACGACTGAACATTGCCATGTAATAAAGAACCGAGTAAAAATCCACAAAGTACGCCGAATAAAATGAAAAATAATATCATATGTTGTTTTGCATTTTTTAATCCATTGTAGCAAAGCTTTCGTGAAGTCATTGTTGAAAATTTGAAGCTTTGAATACAATTCAAAGCAAATTCTCTCAACTCCCAATTTCACAATTCACAATAACAAAGACTATAAATATACCGCGCCATTGACTATATATAATTATATAATAACCAGAAGAATTTGAGCAATTTCATTGGTTGAGAGCTATGATCTATAAAGCCTGGTTTCCACTATAGGCTTAACACGAAAATGCGACAGCGATTAACTTTAAACGCGATAATCCCATATGGGAACGTGGTAATAATCGCAATAAACGGCGACTAACAAACGCGATATAATTTTTGATATTTATTCGCGTTAATCGCGAAAATGACGTCATCTTGAATGAAAATTTTGGAGTATAAAATGGCGGATTCAACATGTGTTCAATCACTTAACGCAGAAAGTTGGCCGAGAAAGTGTGTAAGATTCCCTGCTTATATGACAAAACATATACGGATTATAAAGACAAGTTTGGCGTGGCAAATGCTTGGGCAAAAGTGGTAGAAAATCTGAATCTATTGGAAGGTAAAACAATTTTCATTTGACTCTGAAGATGACTACCGCTAAGGTTGTCGAAACGTCAGTCAACAACAACAAAAACAGTCCTTCTCAAGACTATACCAACCTGGACGATCTACATTTACAAACATGTAACGATACTCCCGGGTTCAAACCATTTACTTTAATAATTGGTAAGCGAGCGAAAAAATTGTTTGAAAATTTAAAAAAAGATTCAGCAAGCGAAGAAATGACTTTAAAAAAGTATATAAATCTGGAACATCTCCGTCAGCTGTTGTTTCCTCTAAAACAAAATTGGAGGACTATAATTTTCTACAGTGGTTAGTACCATACATAAAGTCTGGAGCAACAAAAACTAATTTGTCAGTATCAAATACCGGCAGCGGCTCGACAAGTAATTGTAGTTTGTTAACAGATGATGAAATTGAGCAAGTCAGCTTACTAAATAAAGACAATGGCTGTCAACAAATAAAGCCAGATGAAGTATTTGATGATAAGATTACTGATATATCTGATACAACTGGACATAAAAAGTGGTCAAAGACAAAAGTTGATGTTGAGCAAGAAGAAATACAGTTTCTTCGTACAATGCAAAAAGCAGTTAGGCATCAAAACAAAAAAAAAACACATGGAAAAAGATGAAAATGATTTATTTGGAATGCTTGTTGCCTCCCAGTTGAAGAAGTTAAATACACATGAACAGGCCATTGCTAAGCATCAGATTCAAAATGTTGTTTTCAATATACAAATGAATCAAAACCCAACACCGAATCGTTCTCTTCAGAATCAGGCTTTATAAAGACTGCACCCACCAATAACAGGGAACCGCTGATTGTCTCAGCCATGTTGGGTTTCTTTATACAAACCTGCAGAATATCTTCCCTTTGCTCACCTGCTGAACGACCATCACTAGTAATTGGACTTTTGATATAATCGCACTTCTCTAATTCCAAAAATAGTTCCCTGCTCATGGAACCTTTACAGTCTATTCTTTCAGCCCTAAAGTATGGAGTAACTGAAACAAAGTCTTGTCTATTGCTCTTTGTCTCAGCCATTTTGTGTTTCTTTACACAAACCTGCAGAATATCTTCCTTTTGGTCATCTGCTGAACGACCATCACTAGAAATTGGACTTTTGATGTAATCGCACCTTTCTAAGTCGGAAAGTAGTTCCCTGCTCATAGAACCTTTACGGTCTTTCATTCCAGCATTAAAGTATTGTGTAACTGTAGCAAAGTCTCGTCTATTGCGATTACCACATAAGTACAATTCTCTGAAATCGTTCATATTATTTTGGCGTAAACAAAAAATAAGAAGGGCTGCTTCTGTTATATTACAATATTGTGTTAACGAGTATTCATAATCATTTGCCATGTAGAAACCATTTCTATGCGACAAGTCGCATTTTTCACCATCTTTACTTAATTCAATACCATTCTCGAGAATATTCTGAGCAGACGAATGATCAGTGCCATGGAAATATAACTCAGTATTTTCGTCTTCGTCTTTCTTCAAACTTTCAACCTCGATGATACCTCTAATTGCTTCATCTTTGTTGCTTGCATTAAAAATCTTTACTTTTTGATTAGTTTTGCCCTTTGCATCATTAGAACGTGAACAATTCTGCGTAAACCAACCGTTTAGGTATTTTTCGTCGTACGGAAAAAGAGGAAAGGCGTTATTCGTAAACATAGTACAGTTAAAGTTGCTTAATGTTGGTTCTAAACAAAACTGTTATTGATTGGTCATCAAGATGAGACAGAATAAACGAGAGTGCAGTTTTTCCTTCACTTTTCATGGTCTCTTTTTTAACCAACTCATTCGACATGTAAAGCAAGCTCACAATATCGTACATATCAGTTCTAGTGGAAGGACTTCGCTCAGGTCTTTTTTGGAGCATAGCAATGATCGTTTGGTTGTATTGTGGTACAACATTATTCTTTTGTGGATAAATGGTGTAGACGTCTCTCATTATTGATTTTGACAAACACGGAGACATTCATTGGTTGTATTGTGGTACAACATTATTCTTTTGTGGATAAATCGTGTAGACGTCTCTCATTATTGATTTTGACAAACAAGGAGACATTCATTGGTTGTATTGTGGTACAACATTATTCTTTTGTGGATAAATGAAGTAGACGTCTCTCATTATTGATTTTGATAAACACGGAGGCATTCATTAGTTGTATTGTGGTACAACATTATTCTTTTGTGGATAAATGGTGTAGACGTCTCTCATTATTGATTTTGACAAACACGGAGGCATTCATTGGTTGTATTGTGGTACAACATTATTCTTTTGTGGATAAATGAAGTAGACGTCTCTCATTATTGATTTTGACAAACAAGGAGGCATTCTAAAGAACATCATAGATACTTATGAAAGGATGTTTTCTAACTTATGTTTATAAGATCATATCTTTATTTTATCATAGATACTCTTACAAAAATAACATAGAAAAAATGAATAACATTAATTAGAAACCTTTCAAATATTTAAAGCGAGAACGTCGATACGTTCACATTCACAATGGCTACATATGTAAACGTTTATTTATTTGCATTAAAATTCCTTCAAAGCTTATGAAGGAATCGCTATACGAAGGTTTCACGACATTAAATCTAGCGGAAAAGTATATATCTTTAGTTTTGTGCATATTTTAGTACAAACATGAAACTTCCGTTGTGGGAAACGTTATTTTGCGTAACTTTGCCTCATGTATTTGAAATTTTTGTTGAGATAGTTTTTCATCCAACGAATAAGTAACTTTGATCGTGACTTACGATAAACATTTCAACTATTGCAAAAACTTCGAAATATCAAACGGAAAATTTAAATCAAATGTAACATGCTCCAATGCACCACAGTTATGAGGAAGTGATGAAGCACCACTTGTGCTTTGTGGCTACATCATTTATAACCAAATACCAAAGAATGAATTAATTATTTTCAAAAAATTCAGAATGTATTAAAAAACAAGCTACAAAGTAATTTTTGATCCATAATAATGACTTTGAAAGTTTTAACACGATAATTTTACACTAAATTATTTGCACTCGGGGGAACTCTATATGCCTTTGTGCGCAATAGATTTGTTACAAGCAAGGCAAAAGAGCCAATACATACTTCAAAACTTATCACACAATTGTCACTTATCACAAGATTCTTACTTGTTCACACGATACCGGATTACTTTTCGTACCGGATAGGCCTTGCGTTCACACGGCTCCGCTGCTATCCGATACGCTTTGAATCGTTTTTCCGGAGCGATTTGACTCCGCTGTGGAAGTGGTATAAAAACCAATCCGATACGTTCCGTTGTCGTGTGAACGCTCGAATCCGATACGTTCCACTTTGGCAACTAAAGGCCGATCTCCACTTCGACCGTATCGTAGCGTAACGTAGTAAAACGTAACGACGAGCATGCGCAGTGTCACTATCACTGAGGACGATTGATATCGAACGTGTCGAAAGCTTTAATACGCGTATCAAAACCAGAGTTCGCCGACTGTCAACATTTTTGAAACGAATTCGTACTACGTTTGATTTGAACCAATGAAATAACAAGTTTTCTACTCAAGTTGGCTTGTTTTTTTTTTTCAAAATGGAGTCGTTTGAGGAATGGCAAGACAATATAAACGAATTTTCCAGAGAAAAAGAAAACTCAGAGGCATCTGTGGCGGAATCTTTCAATAGGAGTAACAGCGAATCTACTGCTCGCGCTATAAGTGTTCAAGAACCTCCATTTTTGATTAACTTAATCGAAGAAGTGCGAAAATACCCTTGCATCTGGAACGTTTCGTCAAAGTTGCATAAAGACAAACCAAGGAAACTGGAGGCATTGCGACGAATTTCTGCTGCTTTGTGTGTACCTGGTATGTTATCTTAACAATATACATTGCTTAAAATTTTGAAACCTAAAAGAACAAGATACCTTGTTTTCATAAGCACAAAATCGTTAAATTTATAAAACAGGTAAAACTCTGTAATAAAATACAGTAGCCATTTGTGTAATCACTACAGTTCTTGGTCCAGCTTCTGCAATTGAAGTGAGTCCTACATTTACTATTGAGTGTGAAAATTGTATTGCTATTAACTGCCACTTGTTGGGTATAAATTTATGTCTATTTAAATGTGTTTGATTAGAAATATCTAGTTATGTGGGTTTTGCTTTATTTTATTCAATACTTCAGTTTACAAAACTTATACAACAGAGCCGTTATGAGTAAAAACAAGCAAGCAGTACATATTACACCTTCTATTTATTAAAACATTTTATTATTCAAATGTGATACTCACCCATGCAATTATCACAGTGACATGACACTGATCATCAATATGCCAGTTAATTAAGAAATGATAGTATTAAATGAGCTTTAAATGGAAGTTGATATTCATGGATAAGAATAAATATGTCCATTTTGCAACATTCCAGATTAAATTTAGTGTAGCTCACTATTTTTTTCTGCATTGTACCTGTAACCATCCTTATATTGCAATTTCCTTATGATACTCTTCTTACATTTTGTATATGGTGCAAACCATTCCCATCCTAAGAAGGTCTTGTCTGGTGTTAGACTGTAAGAAATACTTGTGCATGCCTTCTTATTGGTGTTAAAACTAAGTCAAATGGCATGGGCCATAGCTAGAGAACTAAATTGGGAGAGGGGAGGTTTGTTTTTTCATATATTTATTTGAGCTTGACTGATTTCTTTAGAAAGCCAAATCATTTTCAAAAGGAATCAGTCTGACGCTACTGAATATAAGAATAAACACCTCTCCCCATTTATTGTTTTAGCTATGGCTCTGCAATTGGCTACTAAACAACTATGTTTATGAAGGGCATAACATCTTCTAACAAATGCACTGAACAAAGTTTGATATACAGGTTTTTATTTTTCTAAATCTAGAGAATGTAGTTTGTAAAGAGTTTGACAGGCTGAAGGATAATTATAGAAGATGCATTAAAAAGCGAGAGTTGGCGACACGATCAGGGAGTGGGGCAAGTAAGAAATTGCCAACTTGTGAATATTTTGTTGAGTTGTCCTTTTTGCGTGATGTGATGACTGGACGAAAACTGAAACCAACATCCCAATTGAAATTGCCGAGAATCCTGATGTGCTCTCCACCGATGAGGATAGACCATTTACATCATTTTCACCAATCACTGTGGACAATTCCCATGCAAAACTAGAAATTTCAGACTCAAAACCTCTTCAAAGACTCGGAAAAGGCGATCAGATCAGATTGACGATCTTTTGGCCTTAAGCCTTGCCAATGATATAGCATATGCTAAAAATGGTGATTCAAAAAAGACAACTAACCCAGAAGACCAGGACATTCTTTTCTGTTCCAGTTTGGTTACTACCTTTAGGAATTTGACTGGAAAGAAAAACAAATTGGCTAAGATCAAAGTATTGCAAGTTCTTGCTGAGTTTGAAGATGATGACGAAATGTAACAGAATGTTTTTTCCATAAACTTTTTCAAGAAATTTATTGTTACAAATAACTTTACGTTTGCATGCGTTAACTACCACGTTATGTTATAAAAACAGTGACAAAACTAATAAATGATTCTTTGATTTAGTTAATCTTCGTTTTGAAAACAATCAACTGTAGCATGTACTGCGTTCCACTGCCAGCGTACTTGTCCTTTTGGGGACATGAAGTAGTTTTTAAAATCTTCTCTAACAAGCTTTGCATCACGAGAGTAGTTGTTTGACCCAGCGTTGCTGACATCTCTTAAACCCTCATCTGATTGTGTCACTTTTCTCCATTCTCCAAGCTCTCTTCCGTTTTCTGTGTCGTTGTCCACGAAACCAGCTGGACAGTATTTTGTGCTGTGCGAAAAAGACCTTCCAGCCATAAGATAATTGTGCAGAGCGATTACTGCTTTTGTAACTTGAATAACCATTTCAACTCTGGCGTGAATTGGTCGACGAAATATCCGAAATCGTGCTGCTACAATTCCAAACGCATTTTCAATTACCCTCCTCGCTCGAGACAACCGATAATTGAATACCCGCTCAGATATTCCCAAGGCTTCTCTAGGGTACGGTTTCATGATATTTTGCTGTAATTGAAACGCCTCATCTGCCACTATGACAAATGGATAGCATTTTTGAGTGGAAGGGAATGCCTCGGGCCTAGGGATGCCTAAACTGTTTTTCTTAATTGATTCACCCATTGTACTGTAAGAAAATACACCACCGTCACTATTCCGTCCTGAGTCACCAATATCAACCAATGTGAACTGGTAGTTTGCATTGCAAATAGCCATTAAGACAATAGAATGGGTTTTCTTATAATTAAAGAACATCGATCCAGAGTTAGCTGGTGCCTGCATCACGACGTGTTTTCCATCAAGCGCACCAATGCAGTGTGGAAAATTCCATTTAATTTCAAACCCCTGTGCTATGCACTTCCACTCTGCCTCATTGCTTGGACATTTCATGAATACCAATGACAGTACTTTCCACAGTGCTTCACATGTTGAAAAGATGATTCGTCCAACAGTGGTTGGGCTCATTCGAAAGTTCATCCCTATGGTTGTTTGAGAATCTCCTGTAGTTAGATACCTGAGTGTTACACAAAGTCGCTCACTAGGTCCTATACATTCCCGAGTTATGCAAGACTTCTGTATCTCTGGAGCAATCATAGTCAAAAGTTCTTCATATTGAACAGGAGTCATACGAAAATATTTGAAAAAAAATTCTTCATCAAATAAACGTAAATCTTGGACTAATAAATAGAATTCTCCTTTAGTTTTGCGTTCTTGAAATATTTTTCGTACCCATACTGACTTTTTATTTTTATTTCCTTTAGTCATCCTTCTTTTTAACAAGAAAAGAAGAAGTGTGTTTTTACTGACAACCGCCATGTTATGATTATAATCAAAATTCGCGCCATGCTTCGTTTCTGTACGGTTCGTTAAAACCGCCAAAGTGGAGAATGTAACACGTATATGCATACGATACGCTACGTCGCGTTTTGCTACGTTACGCTACGGTACGGTCGAAGTGGAGATCGGCCTTAAGAAGTCCGTGCGATTTTTCAAAGTGAAAGCAAACATAGCGATACAAACTATGTTTTAAATGAATAATCCGCCAGCAAATATAATATATCTTCAACATGGCATGTTTAAGCTTTTAACAATGTATTATCGCAGTGTGAAAAGCTTCTTTCTAGTATTATTGTAATGGCAACATATATTCGGTCGTATTTGGACTTTACACTCTTCCAGTCCTTGCGCCCATTCGTAAAAAACCTTAATACGCCTAAGAAAAAACTCTACTTAGTTATCTGTCAAAAAAATTTCTCATTTCTCACGAAATATTTGCATTAGCAACCATCGTCGTTATCGCTTGCACGTACAAGTACTGGGGCGATATAAAAACTTATGTATCGTCTTACGAATCCGGTATCGTGTGAACAGGGCCTAAAATATTATAAAACATGTTTCGATGTTTAAAGTGTTAAGTGTTCAGGAAATTGACGCCTCCTGGTTATAACTGGTTGAATTATTTTCACGTTCCTAATAAGTACATAGGTATTAGGTCGTCAACGTTTTGATACCAGGATACGGCGCATAAAACCGTTCAAAAAATCGATATTTGAAGCTATTGACGACAGCCCAGTACAATTTTCTTTGTATGATGAAAACTGTCACAATTATACCCAAATGCGTTGAACATAGTTGCAAATACAAATACATTTTTCATTGGTTTCGCTTTCATTATGGAAACGACGACGAATATTGTTGTCTGAATTCATCAAAATTTACAAAACTCCATTCTAACGTTAACTAAGAATGTTTACTTACTTTTACAGAAGGATAACAGCTGGTATTTGACAATTTTTATATATCTACGAACTGAGGAGCTTCGATGGACGGCTTACTATCCAGAAAGAAATGACTAGAATCGCGTCTCTGTGTCGGTACCAGACCTCTGACGTAGTTTTTCCCGCTAATTCCGATAATTACCATCGACCACGAGCCAAAGATTTGCCGTGATTCCTAGAGTACCCCATCAAGTCAAATAAAAATGTTAGTTAGGATAATAAAATATAATAATGACCTCTTTCCTGAATAAGTTTAAATCGTTTTAAGATTTTTACATTTCTGATCTCTATGAAGGCCTATTTCTGTTAAAACTGACAATTTTATGTCAACAGACACAATAGAAAAACAGTTGTCCAATTATATGTAATACCTATTAAAGAGCATTTCATATAACCAATCAAAAACCATAAAACATTTTGTATGAAACATGTTTAGCTCCTAAGTTAAACATAAAGTACTACTCGAATAAGAACATGACAATATTAAAGATACGGATATATACGGATGTAATGGTTATACTTTTATATCACGTGACCATTTTTTGCTACATAGTGATTACACACAGACTCAACCAAAAAGATCTTTTATCTAGGCACGTTAGGTGGTATATATATTGTTAATATTTGTAATATTTCTAGGCACGTTAGGTGGTAATGGTTTCTAGGCACGAAGTTTGAAACAATCACCAAACAAAACAAAGGTTTGTCCACACAAATGTTTGTAATCATAAAACACGGGAGACTATATTCATTAATATTGATGGTATTCCGTTCCATAAATATTATCCTCAATATTGATGGAAATAAGTGCGGAAATTCCGTTCTGGGTTACAAATGTGTATGACGAAAAATATGATAGAATGTTTCATTTGTTTATATAGAGATGTATAAAATCACTGAACATTCATTGGTGTTTGAAGTCTTCAAGCGCGTTAAACTGGACAATCGACTGGATTTTTATTCGTGAATATTCGTGAAGTTGGCTTTTAAGAAAAGGTAGCTGTTACTAATGTAATTTATTTAACACTTCTTAAAAACATGTTTTCCTACGCTTACGATCCAAACCATATGTACTTAAGGTGATGTAACAAGAAATCGTGACGATTTTAATTTCTTATTAGCATGACCATGTGAAATAAAATATAATTATCCTAAATCTTACATTCTTGTTTCATTTCTTTTGCGCAAAATTGGAAAATATTTTTTACAGGTATAAGCATCATGTAAATCGTACACCATTAACGTAACTCTTTTGCGTAGGAAACCAGCATTTCTATTTGTAGAAGAGTCGAAATGATGACTTTTTCCTATTGTAATTATCTTTAGATCGTCCTTTACAAAAAGATGAACGACAAAGGTAAAAATTTCTGTGCTGAACAAGAAAATAACGTTAAAGAAGATTGTTACGATGGGCTAGATGGCAACGAAAGATACAATGCATTAGAAAATGAAAGTATGGAAGATGGTGGAAATACTCAACCAATTCTAAATTTACCCATTCAAGAGACTTTTTCTGAAGAATTTGAATCTTCGATGGAAATGTTGGAGGAAGACCTTGTTTTGAATGTTCCATCAACTCAAGAAAAACTTTAAATCATCGTCAACTTCAACGTAAAGTGGTATTCATTGAAAGGAAAAGATTATGTAAAATTTTATTATAAATAGATTTGTGTAAAACTCAAGAAAATATTTTGTTTTAAACACTCAATAATCGTTCAAAAACAACCATACTTGTTATCTACCAATAAAAAATGTGTAAAAATTTGTAAGTTTTTTTAAATATATTTCGTAATGATCTGTATTTTTATTTATGTCGTTATTGATTTTTGTTTTTTTCAGTACTATTATCAACTCATTCCAACACAATTGTTTCAAAACAAGCTAATAATGATAGTTTTATTTCATAGCCAGCAATGAGCTTTGCTCAAAAAGTATTTCAAAGTTCTGCGTGCAAACTAGTGAAAAGAACACAAGTATGTTGACTATAGTTTGCGCTGTGACAACATTTTATTTTTGGCTTCCTGTCTACCATTTGCTACAAAATTTAACAGGAACATTGCATTTTTATAGGTAGAATCAATGGTAGATCATTGTAGACAATGATTATCTTTTGCTCAATTTTTCTTATCACACAATTTTTCCATCCGTTGGTCTATTTTTGCTGCGATTGTCAGAATAAAATTGTTTTTAAAGGCTTTTTTTTATACCTAAACATCGTGATGTACTAAAGTATAGGAACAACATAGTATCGTTACATGTTTGTAAATGTAGATCGTCCAAGTTGGTATAGTCCTGAGAAGGACTGTTTTTGTTGTTGTTGACTGACGTTTTGACAACCTTAGCGGTAGTCATCTTCAGAGTGAAGTGACTTTTGACTCTGACTTCCACAAACATTTGACTGTGAAGATGACTACCGCTAAGGTTGTCGAAAAGTCAGTCTACATCAACACCAACAGTCCTTCTCAGGATTTAACGACATGGACGATCTACATCTACAAACATGTAACGACATTCCCGGGTTCAAACCATTTACTTTATAATGTACTTAAGTATAGAAACAAGTTATAATACACAAAGAAAATGCGACCACTGGGTTACAATTCTTAATTTCAACAAACCATCCACACAGTGGCAAAGCTAGAGGTCGTGTTGGTTGTGCTGAGCACGACCAAACATTTTTCAAACTAAGGTTTTATTTACCCACTAAAATTTTAATACTTGTTTTTAATGTTGACAGATATTAGCGAAAACAAAATCGATTTCTTATGCTTCATTTGCATTTTGTGATATGTACTTCATATTACTTTCACTATATTACGTTTCTACCCGACATCTGCCCTATTTATTGCCTAAAAGCAAATGGAAGGGCGTTCGCCCGTTTTTGGTCGTCCTCTACTCAGACCAGCACGACCAAATTATATATTCCTAAGCGCTGATTGGCTGGAAAACCTCACGGCCTGTTAAAATGGGTATAGTCAGCCTTAGTTTGGTCGTGCTCTGATCAGGCGAGAACGACCAAAACATAAATTACTAATAATATATAAAGCTGCATTGCGTCGTACGCATGCTCAATCACCGAATATTTTCCTTTGGTCGTGCTCTGATTACGGCGAGAACATAGTCTATGGGCGAGAACGACAAAAACATAAATTATTAATAATATATAAAGCTGCATTGCGTCGTACGCATGCTCAATCGTCGAATATTTTCCTTTGGTCGTGTTCTGATTACGGCGAGAACATAGTCTATGGGCGAGAACGACAAAAACATAAATTACTAATAATATATAAAGCTGCATTGCGTCGTACGCATGCTCAATCGTCGAATATTTTCCTTTGGTCGTGCCCAACTTTATTCGCACGTGTATTTCAAATATTGTCCAATTATTCATCGTTTTACTGTGTTCTTGGATTGTGTGTGAACATAGAACTCAGTAAAGGACAGTCAAACGTTGTGACTGAAGCTCAAAGAGTCAGAGATATCGTTTCTGAGCTTTTACGAAAGATTGTCAGTTCACGCAACGCTATAGAGTAGAAATATTTTGTTTGTACGGCACGACCGACCCCTACGCTCACACTGAAAACAAGAGGTAAGGGGTTGGTCGTGGCATAGATCATTTCATATAACCAATCAAAAACCATAAAACATTTTGTATGAAACATGTTTAGCTCCTAAGTTAAACATAAAGTACTACTTGAATAAGAACATGACAAACTCTGCTTATCTTATTCTTTTCTCTGATGCTGCAAAAAACAACAGCTCATTAAACATACGTTAGTTGTATGATTTCAAATCTTTGATAAATCATACAGGTGTGCAAAATGTCCAATGGACTCAAGTGATGTCCTTCTGATAATAGTTACACAGTGAGACAAAGCAAACATGAGACAGTCATTGTCTAAATGGTGTAAACATGTGCTTTGTTATTTTATTTTGCTTTGGAGACACATAACTTTTCTTCAATATGCAAAAAACATCATTATGATATCACAATGCATAATTAGCTTTAGGAAAAACTAATTTTTGTGGACAGTTAACATAAATTATTGCCAATGTCACAGGGTCCTAATATTATTGATTTCAATGCATTGGGATGGTGTCATTGTAATTTTCAAATAAAACGACAAATGATTGAATATGTCCGTCTTAATACAGCATGGGGTATTTAGGGAAATGGTAACAGGATGATATGAGGACAGTAGAGGCACCAGGGGGATGTCATTTTAGTGATACAATATACTTTTCATAGAAATATAAACCAAACACTTACAGCTTGTTGTAAAACAAACGTTCCTTTCTTGTTCATAATGACTTCTTCAATGGCTTTGATAGATGTTTCCAAAGCTTTCAAACCTTTTTCTTGATTCATTATTGTTGTCATGACAACATAGGTTGGTGGTGAAATGGGATTTATCTTAAAGAAGAAAACAGTTTACAATCAAACAATGAAATTTTCAAAAGATTTTTTATCATTGTATGTTATTTAGGCCTGGTGCAGCTATTGTAAGGTATAATTACATTGCTGTGCACATTTGGAACATCTATAAATAATTAAATCTTGTTTTCGTGAACATCAAAATGTTCATCCTCATTGTGTTTATGTAGCATATTGCAATTTGTTGCATTTCAATGAGAATGATCTGTCATATACAGTGGTGTAAAACAATGCTTCATGCTATTCTTGGTTCTTAAGGTTCGTTTTCCTTGACAACTCATTTATTGACAGTTGTCTTGTTGTACACAATGTTCAGTAGTATATATAATAATCATTCTACAATTGAAATCTTGACATAAACATATTTAAAAGTTAAATTGACATGATGAATATGAGGTATAGCTCTATTGGTTAAGAACAGTTCATGTACGACGTAAGATGATGTTAATGTTGATTCATAATGGTTTCAAAAAAGCTTGGCTGACTGATAATTATGTTAATAAACACATAACCCTGGCTGTCACATGTTACAATCGTAAACAAAATCTCAGCAAACTTTTGCCATAAATAGAAAGCAGTTTTAAAATTCAAAAGGAGTAAAGATCTTTTTATAAAGTCTAACGATGATCAATGATTACAGTACAATAGAACTTACCTAAATGAAGTCATAATATTAAACGTCGCTCGATTTTGAAATAAAAATACAAACAATTCGTTATGTTGATGATGGCACAAAATAT